TGCTTTTGTTTTTGTTTTTGTTTTTCCATCTCGCTTTAATTTTACGATTCTCTGTTTAAAATTTGACTTTCGGTGAACTTCATTCAACCAAATTTCTTTGGCGAAATTTGTACTGATCACCCGTTTCTGTAATTTGACTGTATATGTGAAGTATTTCAGTGCATATCAATTTTGTTGTTCTTGATTATGCATGATTTATTTAGGGATTCAATCATAGATAGAAACACCATTTTGTCAAAAGACTGCCTGCTTTAACTTTTTCATTACATTTCCCTTCTGTATATGTTCAAGCGGTTTATGATACCTCTGCTTTAGATTATTACTAGGTTGACTAATCAGGAGATTCCAAACCCATGTTCCTCTCCTTGTCCCCATGCACTCGATGCCCAATTTGCCTTTACTTGGCGTGCATCACCAGTAGTTTTTTAACACCCATTTTTTCATCATAAAACCTGATTAAATCAGCTTGAGATTTCCAAACCCTTTTCACCCCCACTAAAGCTTTCTCGTCTTCTGCATCGCGTTCTTATCATAGAATATGGCGCTGTGTTGTTGAATCTGAATCAGAAAAGCTTTTTTCAGTTGCTTCGTCTGATCACTTGGGGTTTTGTTTGGGGTCTCTGCAGCCTTTCCCCTTTCCCCCCCTTTTTTTTCACTGGAACCGGATCGTGCCAACTTCATTTTGTATGCTTCTCCCTGGTAAATGTTCTCGCTCCCTTCTTCTTGCTAGATTTAATTTGTGCAGGAACACATGAATTCACTTCAGTTTCTTGGTTGTCGTGGTAATTCTGTCAATTAGTAAGGTAAAGTAAATGGGTTATTGACTGGTGAATATAAACAAAAACCCATTTACTTTAATAAGCAATATCTGAAATGAATCTTCAATTAGGATGAGGTTGCATCCGTTTATCTTCTGTTTTACACAGAAGAATATTCTTAACCTCACTATGCTTAGTATGGACGTTTTCAGAGTGCTTCCAATAGAATATGGACAAAAAGAACAAATCAAAAAACCTTGTCGAGAATCTACGAAATCAACCTTGGAAAGAAAAGAAAAGAGAAGTATTGACTTACCACGCTCATATTCCATATATGGACTGTATTTCCATTTGAGAGAAGAACCTCAGAGACCTTTTTCTTCTGGAAAAGTAACGAGATAGCTCGCTATAACCCTCTGTTTAACACCATTTGTCTGTGAAAACACAATCCATGATTGATTTTTGCGTCAGATTGCGAATTATCAATTGTGGGAAGGCATTTTCTCTTGTCTCATAGGTTATAACAAAGATACTGGATTCTTTTCCACCCGGAGCAACAGTAGTTTTCACTTTTTTGGTATTACCGTTCTCTTTTTCTCTGGTTAAAACTTTAAAGTCCACATTCTCTTCTTTGCAACTTCAATTCAGTCCTCCTCCTTTTTCCTCTCTTGTCTTCTCTTCTTTTTGTAAGTTATGGACTTGTTTTTTCCATATTGCGTTTGAGCTGTTTGATGCTTGTTGTTTGGCTTAATGCAATGCTCCTGCATAAAAAAAGTCATTGTCCTCCCTCATTTTTGCCCATTCGTGATTCTTCCAAGTTTTGATTTTAATTCGTCTTAGTTTCTGCATTTCATAGATGGATTTCTTAAATCCACGTTTTTTTTACTCGTTCGTGAACATTTCTGTAGAAAGAGGTGATATGCGCTGCACACAACCACTATTTTTCACTCTGGCGTTTATTTTGCAGTACATTTCAATGAATCTGGTTGGTTTAGAACAGTTCAGAGAATATACAAATCGTTCTATTCAATTATTCACATGTTGTACTGTAGAGCAAAGACAACTGCAACAGCAAGCTGTTGCAGGCTGTTCATTTAATTATACCTCATTCAGCCAATGTAGTTGAGTATTGAATGTAGCTTTGTGTATATTAAAGGGGCTCCACAGTTGGGAACTGAAGACCGATGAAAAAGAAAAAGCATTTTTAGAAATGAAGTTTATGAAATTGGGAACGAGGCCTGATTCCTTCTACACAGAAGCAGCTACCAGGTATCATTTCAGAATCATCTCCCCCCATTCCCTCCCCCCCCCACACAAAAAAAACCCGAAATCTGCTTGACTAAACGCGTATGACGACACCGCAGGACAGTTCTTTCCGATGTCCCTGGCAATATTGTTATATGCATCGACAATACCAGCTACCTCCTCCACAAGGTAGAGCCTTGACACTGATCTGTTATGTTTCATAATCTAGGATGACACATCCAAGCTCTTATACTGATGCATTTCACTTATTATATATACCTTTTCTTTTTCTCGACGTGACCTTTAATTTCGAACTTAGAAGTTTCTGGACATAAAACATGATTAAACTAGGAGAAGATGAACATGGACTGCAGAGATTGGAAATAATAAAGAAATAATTTCCTCTTTACCAGGATTCTTTATCTGCTGTTTTGGTTGCAGTTTCAGCTTCTGCCAAAATGTGGCCTCTTGCAACATCTCTGTCCTGATTTGGGTGGTTCTAACACTGCTACTATTGAGCTTCATGACGTTCCCGGTGGTGCAGAAGCTTTTGAACTGTGTGCCAAGTTCTGTTATGGTATGACCATTAATATCAGTGCCCATAACCTCGTACCTGCACTCTGTGCTGCTAAGTTTCTCCGCATGACCGAAGCAGTGGAGAAGGGAAATCTTGTTCCGAAGCTCGAGTCTTTCCTCCACTCGTGCATTCTTGTTGGTTGGAAGGATACCATTGTTACCCTACAGAGCACAGTGAAGTTGCCTGAGTGGTCGGAGAATCTTGGAATTGTCAGAAAGTGCATCGATTCAGTTGTTGAGAAAATCCTAACGCCACATTCAAAGGTTAACCGATATTTTTTTTACTCGATATTAGATTACCAGTAATCTCAAAAGTTGAAGTTATTGAATTAAAATTAATTCAGCTATTAGTTTATTCTTAATACATTCTTCACGTGTTTTACTATTAATTCTGTTAGAAGCTGAAGAATTAAAATTCAGACTCTTGAGAGAGGAATAGGCTTATCAGAACTTGGGTCTAGGATCCATTTTTCTTGGAACTTAGCTACTGACTTAAGATGATTCCTTGCAGGTATCATGGTCCTACACTTATACAAGACCAGGTTACACTAGAAAAAACAACCCAAGTGTCCCGAAAGATTGGTGGACCGAGGATTTGTCAGATCTTGACATCGAATTGTTTCGCTGTATAATTTTGGCGGTTAGATCTACATACATTCTACCACCACAACTTATTGGAGAAGCCCTGCATGTCTATGCCTGTCGTTGGCTACCCGACACTGGAAAAGTCAAGCCTTCAGAGACTAAAATTACTCAGAGCAAAGAAGATTTGGAGAAGAGTCGACAAATTCTTGAAAAAATAGTCGGTATGATTCCTTCAGATCGGGGATCGGTTTCGGTTGGCTTCTTGCTTAGGCTCCTTAACATAGCAAACTATCTAGCCGTGTCGTCAATGACGAAAACTGAAATAATTCGGAGATCAAGTCTGCAGTTTGAGGAGGCAAGAGTGAGTGACTTGCTCTTTCCTTCACAGTCAACCTCCAACTCACACTTGTATGATGTTGACTCGGTTGTAGCGGTGTTGGAATGTCTTCGGGCGCTGTGGCGGAGGCAGTATTCTGGGGCTGCAGAAAACAGTCATTTCTTGAGATATATTAGAAAGGTGGGGAAGCTTGTCGATTCATATCTTCGGGTGGTCGTGATGGATATCAATATGCCTGTATCTAAAGTGATCCAACTTGCTGAAGCTTTGCCAGATATTGCTCACCCGAACCACGACGATCTTTACAAGGCAATAAACATGTATCTCAAGGTAAGATATCACTTAAAATTTGTCAAATCTCTTATTTCATTGATGTAACATGTTCTAATGACAAGCAGGAACACCCTGATCTGAGTAAGGCAGACAAAAAGCGCCTATGTCGAATTCTAGACTGCCAGAAGTTATCACCAGAAGTCCGTGCCCATGCTGTGAAGAATGAACGGTTACCGTTAAGAACTGTCGTGCAGGTCCTCTTCTTTGATCAAGAGAAGGGAACAAGTTTCACACCCATTGCAAAACATCTGATTTCTGTCGAAAAACAGACAACATTCACCAGCGACAATCATGGTAAGCCAAAAGCAGCGGATGTGGACAACAGCATCGATAAAGAAGTAAGAGATCGAAAAGCTTTCTCCGAAAGCAGTGAGAAGGACGGACATAGAACAAGAAGAGCAGATGTGAAGCTGCCACATGAGAAGGAAATAAAAGATGATAAATCAGAACTTGATGTGAAGTCAGTGAGGAGTAGTAGTAGGACCAGGGAAAGCAAGTCCATGATAAAGTCAGATTCTAAGAAAATGGTACCAAAAGGAAGCAGATCAGAACATGGTGGTGAACAGAGACAGGTAAAAGGATGAAGGCAGATACAGAAAAGAAAAAGAAAAAAAATACCAAATCAGACCATTTTTCGCCTTCGTTTATTTATTTTTTTATTGTCGTTTCGTTGTCCTGTACTGTAATAGATCTAAATCTAATGCAAGTTACATTGTCATGAAATTTTATCACCATGCTCAAAAATATGTTTGAATAGCCGTAATACAGGTTACTCTTTGTCAATTGTGCGATTACAAAATCTCTATCTACTAAATTGTAACAATATTCCCATTGCTTGTGTGATACATAAACTAAACTTGAATATGACTATTGAAAAGGTGAGTTCTAACCAATCAAAAAGATTGGAAAATAGATGTCAACTTTTTAAGTAAAGAAATGTTTATTTTGGTCTCATAACGTCTATTTTTTGTCTTTGTATTTTTAATTTTTTGTTGCTGTACTTTTGAAATGTTTTGTACTCGATTATTTTGATCAATTCATTTTCATTTTATTCTATTTCTTTCTTTTAATTAGTTAGACTAAAATCAACGTTTGAAAAAATAGATATTTAAATAGTATACAGGTTAAAATAAGGTTTTTTTTTTGTAGAGTAATTTAAACCAAAATTTTACCTTCAATGTATTATATGTTGAAGTCATTAATTATTTTCACGAGTCAAAATCAAAAAAATATTTTAAATCGAGAAGAAAAGAGAGAGTAAATTTATTGTATGGTGAACATTATTCTTCACGTGCGATTGGTTAATGCAATGGATATTTATAAGTTTAGAATATAAAACAAATGGATGAAAACAAATTTGTATTTTACTATTTTACACTATAATGAGTATTTTGTTTTAATAATTAGATAAACATGACTATTATTTTTCTGTAAGAAAATAAATACTAATAGTTCTTAAAAAGAAAAGTATTATTATTTACGTCAAAAGCATTTCAATTACATCATTTATACTTAAAATTACTTTTTCTAATTTTATTTGTGTTAATTGAACATATCACAAATTTAACTCTACGCTAATACAAAAAAAGAAAAAGAAAAAAAGAAAAAAAAAGTACGTTACTCTATTTTTTATTATTTAAAATGCTTTAAAATACACTTAAACAATTTAAAATTTTTATTTAGTTTTTCACGAACTAAATTAAAAAAAAAAAACCGTCTTAGAAATCTGAGATAAAAATTTTAGGGGTATGCAGTGCAAAAACAAGAATTTCCTCCGTATTAATGCACGCCGTTCTTCATTACATTTTTTTTTAATGTATTTTTTGAGGAAAAGGAAGATTAGTTAGCCATGTTTCAGAATCTCGGCTCAAATTCGCCTTCAACCTGCAACGGTTTCTCTCTCCGGATTTTTTAAAGGTTAAAGAAGAAGATCTCCACTCTCTCTCCTTCTCTCTATTCATCTTCCTTATCAGCCTCTTTGATGGTGCTTTCTCCTTTCTTTTATGGCGTAATTACTGTAATCTTTGTTTTACTTATCAGATTTGCTTAGAATCCCTAATTTTGTACGACACCCATGTTATTGCTCGATCCATTTTGTTATTTTTTGATTGGCAGTCTGGAATCTGAGATTATACCTAACGTCGGAATTGTTTGCTGTCGTGATTGGCATTTCATTTAGAAAATATTTCGATTGAATTATAATTCTCCTCGTTTTGTTTGTTTCCGTGTATGATTATTGTCAAACTAGATTCACTGCATAAGGGGGAGTTCTCTTCTCTGTAGTCAATTGATTATAGTTTTTCTACAGAAAGGAAAAAAAAAAAGAATCTAGAGAGTACTGGGCATTGCTTTGATGTTGATTTGGCAAGGGAGGATAAATTTCTATAGCAATCTGAGGCTTGAAAAATCTTATATTCGATTTTTATATTTTCCAAGGATAAATCCTGTTTGTTTCATGAAATTTTGCTTCTTGGGTTTATGCGGTCCAGGCTTGAGAGGTACCAGGGATTGATTGTCATGTTCATTAGCCCGTGATCTTGTTTTAAAAATTTTGTTTAAACATATTTTTACTAATTATTGGCGCAGGTATGGAGTGTTTTGACATCTGTGAAAGAACATGGTTCAATGCCTAGAGGGGATAAAGCATTTTTGTGCTACCGTAGCAAACTGTTGTGATGCAGATTCATCTAGGCAAACCAGGGGCCTTGAAGATCCTGAGGCTCTTGCAAGGGAGACAGTATGTATGTTTCTTGAATTTTCAGTCGTCATGCCTGACAGTACCATCCTTCTGATTTATTGGCATGGATATTTGATTCCATTATATATATATATTCTTTTTTTCTCCATATTTTAATACTCTTCTTTGTTTTGATTTTTTGCTCTTTTTGTTTTGCTTTTGTTTTTTACGGAGGGGGGTCGTAGAGGTCTAACTAATGCGTGATATAAAGAATGATTCTTTGTTACCGACTGGATTCATTTTTGTTCACAAGACCTTCACTCTTTTATTTGCTAGTAAATTTTGGCAGTCATAAATTGTTTGCTTCTATTGCAGTCAGTGTAAGTGAAATTGAGGCATTGTATGAGCTGTTTAAGAAGATCAGTAGTGCAGTGATTGATGATGGGCTGATCAATAAGGTAACAGCCAGTGGAGAAGTCATTATTTTAACTAGCTTTCCTCCTTAATATAGTGTTTTCAATCATGTAATGAGATAGTAATCTTTTTCATGTTTGACTTTCCCTCTGTGTAATGCTGCAGGAAGAATTTCAACTGGCATTGTTCAAAACAAACAAAAAAGAGAGCTTATTTGCAGATAGGGTAACCTTATTGTTTACAACTGAAACTTTGATTCTATTTCCATAGATAGTACAATTGGACTGACCCGGATGGCCCTTCATATTGTATTTGTTTATTTTGCCAACAATGAAGTTAAATTGTCCTAATATTTCTAATCAATGTCCAGTTCCTGCATTTAAATGATTGAAATTGAAATATCTAATCATACATTTCTAAGAACAAAGTTTTGTGCAGGTTGACCGCTGCTTTACTTTTTACATTTAGCAATGTTTTTTGGACTAGCTACCTCTTGAGTGCATGCATTTTTTTTTTGTCGTTTTGTGTTTTTAGTATGGTAGTTAGCATCTTACTATATCTGAGGTTTGAAAACAAAACTTCAAGTTTCCTATTCCAATCAGTTTCTTTTCCAATTGTTTGTTTGGGGATTGGCCTGTCCTCCTTGAAGGAATGGTGTATAGAATTATTTTAGCACATCAGTTTCTCTATCAAACAGCTGCTGTTTTGGTACAAATCATTCACTTCACTTGCTGGCAGATTTCTGGTTTTTACTAATCATAACTTCTGTAATGCAACTTTTCAGGTTTTTGACCTGTTTGACACAAAGCACAATGGAATACTCGATTTTGAAGAATTTGCACGTGCCCTTTCCGTATTTCACCCAAATGCCCCTATTGATGATAAAATCGAGTGTAAGTTTATTTAGTATTAATTTTCACATGTTCTCCACAAGAAAATGCCACGCTCTTATATTTCATACATGGTTGCATTACATCCCTTTGTTTTTGTTCATTCCATTGGAAAAAGAAAACAACTAGTTGGTGCTCTGATGGTTGTCGGAGATAATTTATTGGTGTTAGCTTTCCTTACTCTGGTCTGGTATTTTTAGTTATCGTGTGGTCTCATTTTTATAATAATTTGCAGTTTCATTCCAATTATACGATCTTAAACAGCAAGGATTCATTGAGAGACAGGAGGTAACTTCTTCATATACCGTCTCTATTCATATTTGAACAATAATATTGCATGGCCACTTACAATTAGCCTGATTATCATAGCAGACCACCCTTTTTAATTGACGATTTTTTCTGAACATCTTACATGGATGATACTAATCGACCTCTTAGAAACTACCAAAAATGAATCTTCTTGTTTTACTCCCTAAGATCTATTAGAGAATAATGTTTCAGAATATTTTGACAGCAATCCAATTTTTAATTCTTCGTGTATACCTGCTAAATAGCCAATATATTTTTCTTCTTTACTGCTGTATGATCAGATATTTTTGGAATTGAAATCCTCCATTGAATCCGATTTCTATATTGTCACCTAAATTCTCACATTTTTATTATCCTGAAAATTACTGAGGGTGGTTTCCAGTGACGTTGATAATTTTGGAAGTTGGGTTGTTGACTTTCTTGGCAGAGACACTTGTAGCATGACGGCCTCTTTGTCAGTACAGTGTTGGAAATCGATATTTTTATTCTTGGAGTTAAAATTGAAAGGTCAAACTGCTTTGATTCTTGATGTTTATAAACATGAAAATTATGGCATTTAAAGTTTTTTGTTTTTTAAAGATGAGGTGGGGGTTAAATAATTTTTTGCATCTTCTCCATGTTCATACTATCACTACTATTTCTTGCCATACTGTATTATCCCCAAGATATTTTCCTCGATGATTGTAGTTTTTATAAAATAAAATACCGTGCAGGTGAAGCAGATGGTTGTGGCTACGCTTGCTGAATCTGGCATGAATCTGTCTGACGATGTTGTAGAAAGTATCATTGACAAGGTTCTCTTCCTAATCAGACTACTTCTGTTACATATAGTATTTTTGTAGTTAACTTTAAGGGAATAGTGATTTGCTAACGCAATTACCTTCAATATAGCTTTTAAACTTTCAATTGTTCAATCTGCTGAATGTCACGTGAGTTCCTTTTCTCATTTCATTTTTCAATACTACGATTATAGACCTGCGAGTCATAGTTAACTGAGTTGTCTACCTAACTTTCCTGATACTTTTACTTTAACGAGTCTATTTCTATTTGTTATTGATATGTAAGTGCCAATCTTGAGCGATGGAAAGTGTGCGAACTTTTCAGAATGCATAAAAATTTAGAAGAGCAACTTTATGAAGCTATACCCTAGCAACCATCATGGGATGGCTCAAGTGGTCAATGAGGGCCTTTGTAAATAGTAAAGGACTTAGAGGGAATGAGTTCAAACCATGGTGGCCACCTACCTAGGATTTAATATCCTACGAGTTACCTTGTCAACCAAATGTAGTAGGGTCAGGCGGTTGACCCGTGATTAGTCGAGGTGCGCGCAAGCTGGCCCGGACACACGGATTCCAAAAAAAAAAAAAAAAATGAAGCTATACCCTAGCATGTGCTCGGTCTCATCCTGAAGGGGGATCTCTTTTACAAGTGCACAAGGACCCTTGAAAATACTGCAGAGCATTTCATTAGAAATGAGAATATTCCATACCTTCGGAGTTTTTCGACCATTTTAGTTCCATTGATGCTTATATATGTCTACAACATGATTTTTTCTTTATGGTGTCTATGATAGATAATTAAGCGAGAGCTTAGGTGGCTGCAGATGTGTTTCTGTTTCTGAAATTTATAACTGGACGTCTCCCAATTATGCAGACATTCGAAGAAGCTGACACAAAACATGATGGGAAGATTGACAAGGAAGAGTGGCGAAGCCTTGTTTTGAGGCATCCATCTCTCCTAAAGAACATGACTCTCCAATATCTTAAGTGAGTGAGCTGAGCTGCATTTTCTGACTTCCCTTTGTTCTTTTGCTTGCTGTGATTGGTCAGCTCAAGTTATTTTACTTTCGTTGTGTTGACAGAGATATCACGACCACATTCCCGAGTTTCGTGTTTCACTCGCAAGTTGATGATACGTGAGAGGTCTCTCATTGTGGAGTTTTTTTATGGGCAGTAGAGCTGGTACTTGGCAATATGGCTGTTTTGACTTGCAAGTTTTGTTTTTAATTTTATTGATATGATTGCAGTTGTTTCTTTCTTATGATGATTGAAAAATGGGGAATATTCTGCTCGCATTTCACTTGAATCAGAGCTCAGTCGAGTTAAAATTTGAAGTATATATTGTTTTTAGGTTTTTACAATTTTAGTCTCTGCATTTCCCTATTTTTAACATTTTGATTCCAATATTTTCGTTGTATTGATATAATTTTGTGGCACAACATGAAGATTGAAATGTAATTCTTCGATTTTTTAATACGCATCATCTTTTCTTTGTTATTTTATTAGGTAATTAAAATTAGAGATGAAATTGAAATGCTTAGTAAGTGAAAGTACTTAATATTAATACTATTTATTACGGTGCAATATTATAGCATTACATATTATGACATTATTTGTTGAACCCATTGATATTTTATACATCTATTGCTTATAGTATTGCTGTTATTTTATTATTAAATATAACGATAAAGAGTTATATATTGAATATTAATGTGCTGAATATATTTTTGAGAATAATGCTAAACGTATTATTATTAATAAAAAAAAGTGATTAGTTATTTTATGTTAATTTCTAAGCGAAAGCTAAATATTGTTATCTTTTATTAATATTGTTATCTTTTATTCTTTTCTTAATGTAAGTAATACCTTTATAATTGTCATTAGTTAAAATTTAGGTAAGTTAAAAGAATAGTTGATTTCCACCTCATGTTGTTCTAAAAGGAAAAAAAAAAAGAATATGTAATGTTTAATTTTAAAAAATATTGAGCTTTGCTAATAACTTAATTGAATACGTTACTTATCAAGTCATAAAATTTACTTTTATTTTATTTAGTTAAAAATATGTGGAGATGAGAATTTGAATTTATATCATGATATGTTTGGTTGGTAGATGCCTAAATGGAAAATGACTTTAATGAAAATACTAAAAATTTCAACCCGAACTTAACCATTAAATAATCACTTTTATATTTTAAACAAAATATAAATATTCAAATATTTTTGAAGATTCCGTAACTAAAATTAAAATTTCGAATGTTTTTACCATCAAATTAAAAGAGTAGATGAGGTTGAAACCCTAAGACCAAACTTCTAAAAATTCAAAAGGAAAAACACGTACAAGTTGGAGAATCCAAATTCCAAACTACATTTAAAATGGAAAAAAAAAAGGAAAAAAAAGAGAAAAAAGTTTTTGCTCTGTAATACATAATATTTTAACACAAATATTTTATGAGTTTTTTTTTTGAAAATTAATAAAATCAATACACTGAACTGGTCATTGGACTCGATACTTGAATCCTTGGTAATTGAAAGAACCAGGCTCGTCCCTGTGAGAAAAAGAGCAAGCTCGTCGGACTCGGAACTCGGAAGAAGAAAGGGAGGATTCTCTCATTTCCCGATCAGCCAGCCAGCAGCAGCAGAAGGTCTCTTTCTCCTTTCACTCCGCCATCGCATTCTTATACACTTCTCTGCTCTGCTTGTTTTCGCTATCGTATTTCTTCATCCGATTCTGGGATAATAACCCCTCTCTCTTCTCTTCTTATAAGGTATCTGTTTTTCCAATTTTAAAAGTAACGAAAGCACTCTCATGAATCCCTCGCTCTTGAATTTCTCAACCAGATTTTGCTTGCACCTCGGTCCAAGTGAGACGGGGGTAACAATTTTCAATAATGTCGGAGAAAGGCGAAAAGGGGTATCTGAAGAAACCTGGAAAGACTTCGCTCAAGTCTCCGGCTACCAAGGATGGTTCGTATTTTAGCGACTTAGACTTGGGAGGGGGACGGGAGGTTCAAATATCAAGTATCTTAAACTGAATTCCCCATGATCCGAATTTATTGACCAAAGGATTTCTTAATCTTCCTTTTATTTCTTTGTTCAACGAAAATTTTGTTTTAAGAATCACTTGGATTTCAAAGCTACTACCATCATCACTGTTTGTACAGGATCGCTTTGCTTCCAGCTTTTCCTTGGTGGAATTGTCCAATGGTGGCTGCCTTCTGTTTGTTAGTTTATTTTGTTACATTATACACTTGATACATACTTTGTGTCAATCCAATTTTTTTCCCACCTACATGATCCTGCTGCACAACTATGTTAGTTGTTTGCAAAATGTGGTTGGTCATCCTTCAACACCTTGGATTTCTACTGCTGGATGCATGTTGTAGTTAGCTGAGTTGATCATATGTCACAGGAATGCATAATTAACTATAATTGGTAACATTGTCCCTGGAGCTGGGAATTTAAATGAGGTAGCTGAGGGTGGTTAAGCATGATTGGAATTTTATTTTTTGGGCATTGCAGTTTCTTCTCTTCTACACTTTTTTTTTGTTTGCCCAATGTATATCATTTTCTTCCTGACTTGTCGCATAGCTCCTCTAAAAGGAAAGGATGATATTTTGTCGAGGCCAAAGAAGGGAAGGAAAGTCCAGTTCGATGCTCAAGGTGAACAGTCAGTCTTTCCCATCACCCTAGTAGTGATAATTTTTGTGTTATACAAGCTACATGATTTCATGTTCTATATCTATGATCAATTACTTGTCAGAATTAATGTGCTTACTTGATAAAACTACTTAAATCTGAAATAATTGTGCATACAGGAACAGGCGATGCACAGATCAATTTTTCAATGAAATTCACGGGCAAAAATGGTACTAATTTTTAAGGTTCATTATATTTACTATGTCAGTCTTTATCTTTCTACTTGTCTAACTTCATCAACCTGCCGTTTGGCATTTTAGCTGCCAATGCAATTTATGGACCTTTTTTCCTTCCCAATTGTGGCTTGCAGGTGACTTGCCTAAAGGAGGAAAAGGTGCGAAGGCTTCTGTTGCAAAGGAACCACAACCGCTAGAATTGAAGATTGAGCAAGGTGGGTACTGCCTCTACTTTGAATCTGTTTTTTATTTGTAATGATATAATTATATTTATATGGTCATCGGTATATTAATTTTTACTATTATTCATAACTCGGAAGACCAGTATTGCATTATCATTTTCTTAAAAAAAATTATGCTGCCTTCCTGTATCTTCTAATATATGATATTGATTCACATTTCTATTTGGCTTGGCCTCTACGGGTTCAAATTTGAAAGTCGGTTTTCTACGAAAGCAACTGCAACATTTGCATTTGTCTTCTAGGATTGTTTCTAAATTATTCATAATTTTTTGAAGTCTTGATGCTTTTTCTGTTCATATTTGTATGTTTTTTCCCTTGTTACTATGGGCAACTGACTATTTTTTCTTTTCTATTCTGAAGTCATCGTTTGGTTATTTCTGCTGGGATAAGAGATTCAGTATGTCTCCTAGTATATTAGTTGTTCGTTCCATGAAATTTGTGGAGGGTATGTCTATGCTATTCAAATTATACCGTTCAATGTTGTTTTGGCTTTAAATGGGCGTGCAGAACTTCCCAAGAATGTTAAATGCCAATGCCTTATGGACTGTGAGGCTGCACAACTTTTACAGGGAATCCAAGATCAGATGGTTCTATTATCAGCAGATCCAACAATAAAAATCCCTACGTGAGTGAACACTGTTAAGTATTTTTTTGAAAGAAGATATCACATGCTTTTTGAGGAGTTGAAGATATCACATGCTTACAAACTTGAATTGCTTTTTTATTAGGTCATTTGACAGGGGACTGCTGTATGCTAAAAGAGCCAATCATTATGTAAATACCGAGTCAGTTAGACCAGTTCTTGAGTATCCTTGATTTGGTGAATAGGTTATTAGATTATATTGTTTTAATTTCTTTGTGACTCTTTTTATGGATGGAACAATTAATATACTATTTCACGTGGGTCTAATTCTGTTGAGTGCTTAACTAAAAGTACTAGAACCCTCAAGCAACATGGTGTAACGGACAGTGAGGTATTTAACTCTATCTTCTTTTTTGTCTGTTTTTCTTTTTTTCAACTAGAATTCTTTAGAATGATTTACTGACCCAGTATTAATTTTCACGCAGATATGTGTGATTGCTAATGTCTGCCCAGACACCATTGATGAGGTTTTTGCTCTTCTTCCATCCTTGAAGGTACAGTACAAGTTTTTCCGTAATTTACATCCCTATGCCATATGATTTTTATGGTTAAAATACAATTTTAGTTTCTATACTTCAATTCTTGTAGTGTTTTGGTCTTGTATTTTTTTAACAACGTAGTCATCCATCCTAGTTTATACATGTAATAGTTAAGTCTTGGTTGGAAGGTGGAGAAAATTAATGCCTCTTTTAATAACCATTTTATTTGTATTTTTTAGTTTTTTTTTTTAATTAAGCTTGCTTGCTCACAATTTCTTTGGTATATTTTCACTTTTCTTAAAAATACATCTGAATTCCTAGCTAAACTTCGAAAACACAAAGTCTTTGAAAAATACATTTTTTAGTTTTTAAATTTTGGCTTAGATTTTAAGAACGTTTTTTAAAAAATAGATAGAAAAACAAATAAATACATGGATTTACAAGCTTAATTTTTAAAAACAAAAAATCAAAAATAAAATAGTTATCAAACGGAATCTTAGGGATTTGCAATTTAGCTTGATGCCTCCAATATATTGGGAAAAAAAATACTTACAACACGTATGATGAAAAATAGATAGTAAAAGAACTAAAAAGGTATGTGGACTAAGTTGTAGAACAAAAATAAAAATGGTACAAAGCCATCGTAAATGATTTGAAAATGTGTCTTAACCTTTCTAGTCAATTTAGGCAAGCTATGAATTATGCCCATATTAACTTTAGATATTAATAAGTTGTTTGTAGTGTGCTTGATAATGATTTAAGAGGTAATCTTCTCACACTCTTAGGGTGTGCTTGGAAGTGATTTTGGCACGGACAAAATCATTTTTGCCATTGATCATGTTTGACCAATTAAAAAATTGATTTTAGAAAAGTTTAAAATAATTTAAAATTGATTTTTAAGGCACCACTTGGATGATGATTTTTGAAAAATCATTTATACTCGAATCTCTTTTTTAAAAAATCACTAATTTTACTATCACTCTCAAACATACCTTTAAACAACTCTCAAGTGCTTTTAAGAACTTTAAAATCCCTTTTAATATGTACTCAAACACTTCAAAAAAAAATGATAAGCTTGTCTAATTAATCAAAAACATTTTAAAGATGCTTCCTAGACACTATTAGTGGGTCATTCATGGATGGAGTTGGATTTGTCAGGCATCATTAGAATGTTGTTCCTATGATTATTATTTACTCATTTGTTTTGCTTGAACATGGTTACATACAAAGCAGAGCAAAAAAGGCAAGCTAACTGAACCTCTCAACAATGTCTTGAGCGAGCTAGCCAAGGTTAAATCATCCTGAAGTCACAAAGATGGGTTGCTTGCTGTTGCTGGAGCTGAGGTCCCGTTTCTTTCTCCCCTTATGAAGATTGTTTTATGGGGTTTTGAAAATTAGGACCTTTTTTTTTGTTTTTGTTTAATGGCATACAGTAGATATTAAATCAGGGAGATCTAAATATTTTAGCCCTTAGGTTGTTGCAGTCTGCTAGATTGGAATCTTTTGTTCTTAAAGATCTGTATTTGCTACTGGAATTGTTGATTCAGTGTAGAAATGTGGGTACTGTACGTTGCTGAGATGCCTCTCCCAGTTGAATCAACTCTGATGAAGTGAAAACCAAACTACAAAACCACTATTAATTTGATGTAAATGTTTTAAGGGAGTAATTTCTACTATATGTTACACATGCTGGACTGTTTATTTATGTAGTTAATATCTAGGTTTAAATATTATTTTGCCAAAGCGAGTATAGTTCAATGGTTATTGACATATTTGCATATGTCTCCAACCAAGAGGTTGTGACTTCAATTTCCCACCTCCACATGATCTACTAATATATATATATATAGGTTTATGGGGGTTTGAAAGTTCGATAATAATCTTTTTAGTTTTTATACTTACAAAATATTTGTTTTAACACAAAATTAGTGGGTCATTCATTTTAGCCCCTACAAAATTTTAATACAAGACGAGATCTTTCCATATAAATTTATGACTACATTTCAAGAAATTTAGTGGATGGAATACACCAAAAATTGGATGTTTGGATTAAAATGAACAAATTAAAAGTATAAAAGATTCAAATGAATCAAGAAAAGTACGAGGACTAAAATAATTCTTTTAAACTTAATAGACACCATTTTGTTTGGCAAAGAACGTTATTCTTAAAAATAGGTAGGCTTGGTAACCTATTCAATATATATATTTTTTCAAATAAAAAAATATTTTTCAATTTTATGAAGAACTTTTGAAATTTTTGAGAAGTGTTTTCTTTTTTTAAATCATATGATTGTTGACCTGCAGGGTTGCATGATAGGCAAGTAGGAGTTGTAGATATAATGAAAAAAAAAATACTCTTTTCATTTATTACTTGTTACATTGCCATCATAGTATGAATAAAGGGAGTATAATACTTTCGTAATACCTAGAATTTTTTCAAGAAAGAAACTTGCTGCAAATTTTTTTTTTTTTACTTGAAACTTTTATTTTAATATCTTCAATATGTTAGTCTCATTTATTCACATAAGCTATATTTAATTATTATCTTATGCTATATTTTATAAAAGTTAAGTATATGTTTTAGTCGTTAATCGTTGGACTAGAGTTTTTATTTTGGTCCCAAATATTTTGGTTCAATTTGGTCATTCATGTATATAATTTTTTTTTTCATTTAAGTTCTTACAACAACTACACACTAAAAGAGTGAAGATGTATCAATTTTTAAATAGTATTTTAAGTTTGACAATGGTCAGCCCATTACATTTTAATGGGAACAATTTTCAGTCCATGAATTTACACTACCTCCGTGATACTTTTAACTCAATTAATAAAGTGTAATTATACCATCATTTTGTCAACTAGTTTTTGGTGAAAGACTTAATTGGAAAAAATCAATATATTAGAAATCTGATTGAAACTTTTAAAATATTAGAAACAAAATTGAAAAAAATAATCAAACGTTGAGGACATATCACATATATATTTAGCTTAAACATTTTAAACATTTTTAATAATAATATATTAGATAAATAAAATATTATATAAAAATTGTTTGATGTTCCTTTTTTATGAAAAAAGAAATAAAACTAAAACTAAAGTCTGAAACACATAAACCCCGTTGGTTTATAAATAAAAAATGAAAAAAAAAAAACAGAAAACCAAAAAATGAGAGAAAAAATGTATATAAAAATAAAAAATCGTCGTCAAATAAAGTCTAAAAAAATGTAAGTTTTCTGTTCTAAATTTAGTTCCTCGTTGTTTAACCCTCCGATCTCGAAGACATGTCATTCCATCGATCTAATTACAGGGGAGAATATCAAAGGAGGAGTTGTCCGAGTACGAGGTTGGATAATAACCGAGCTGAACACTCAGCCGAGCTGGACGTAAAGTCAAACGATTTACCCCACTATTTGCGTAATGACAATCTAACCGCTCCCCCACTAAACATTCTGGTTTCCTATTTCCACCGAGTGGGAACCGTTTAATTCAAATGAGGAGCCAAACTCCTCAACGGTCATTTCCTTACTTCATCTATAAATACCATGAGACAAATAGAGAAGGGGTATGCAAAAACTGATTAACATATGCTTTTCCATTATTTTATAAAGCACAGAGACTAACTAGACCGTCGGAGTGCTAACTTTTTTTTGCAGGTCTCAAATCCAAGAGTGTTCTCGATGATCTATTGTGATTATCGATTTTTCGGCAAGAACACTCGTTAGGTAGATTTTAGATTGGGAAATATATAGCATGTGAAATGGTACAACATCACATTAATTTTATTCACTAACTAACTTCACTTCAGAATGGTTGATAATAAATTTAGTTTTATTGATCATTTTAAGTGGTTAAAATTTGGCTTTAGTTAATTAGATGACGATTTCAATTATACATGCGTTTAAACCACACCTTGTCGACAATATTACCAAGTTTTGTTTTCAACTTAAAATATTTATTTTTTAAACGAATATACAAAGAAAATTATAATTAGCATTATTTTCATTTATAAGTTTACTTGTTCAGTTCTTACTCTCAATTTGATCACTGTAATAGGCAAACTCAACAAATATCTTATATATCTATCCTCAAAAAGTTAAATATTGGAATCTTCACACTCACGAATGAATTTCAAGTCTGACATGTTATTATTATTATTATTATTATTATTATTTTTTGAAATCCATGTATCCGGGTCAGCTTGCGTGCACCTCGACTAATCACGGGTCAACCGTCTGACCCTACTATATTTGGTTGACAAGGTAACTCGTAGGATATTAAATCGTAGGTAGGTGGCMACCATGGTTTGAACTCATGTGCCGCCAACCACTACACCGACGATTTTGCTGTGGTTGTAATAATTCTTATAAATACCAAAGGTAATGGTAAATTGAGGAATCTAATTACTTATTACTCATGATTTGTCAAATTTTACCTTAAACAACCAAAAAATAAAAAGATAGAAGTCAAGACGTGAGGATAGATGTATAAATTTATGTCCATAGGTTCAATAGGATAATTTTAATTTCTATATTATTTAACTTTGGTTGATTTTGATCTTTCTAGTTTTGAAATTTTCATTTTTATTATATACATATATATTACCCAAAATAAAATATTATTAATATAGATATAATATGTAAGCATACTATGCTTTGTACTCAAATAATATAAACATAATATTAAAATAAAAATTTTAAGTTATCAAAAAAATAATAATAATAATAATAAATTTTAACTTATTTTGAGGATGAAATGCCTATAGAAAAGCGTCGTCGTGACAGGGAACAGAAAAGCTTGACTTCCCACTGACTCTCACATTGGGAATGGATTCATCGCTAAGAAAAAAATTAATGATTTGATCGCGATCGACCATCGCGATTTCTGGAATTCCAAGCGTCGATTCAGTTCCACAGAGTGAGATCGGCGATGAAGTTAGCGACGGAGAACGAGAGAGAAATGGAATCCTCCGATGAGGAAGAGGAGGAGGAGGAGGAAGAAGAAGAAGAAGTATGGAGGAAACACTACTCATCCAGACACAGAATCTTACTCGTCGGAGAAGGCGATTTCTCCTTCTCTCTGTGTTTGGCCAATCGCTTCGGATCCGCCCGCAACATCGTAGCCACTTCCCTCGATTCTCAGGGTCTGATCCTTGCCTTTTCTTCTGTTCTATGTTGAACTGATTTATTCATTTGATTGCATTTCAGTTGACTGATTTCATTTCATTTGATTTCGCTCCTCGATTTTCGATTTCTCGATTCTCAGATGACCTAGAAAAGAAGTACAGCAACGCAATTCGGAACGTGAGGGAGCTAGAAGAAAGGGGATGTTTGGTATTCTACGGGATCGACGCCCGAAACATGAGCCAACACTTCTTCCTCAGGACGCAGAGATTCGATCGCATCGTCTACAACTTCCCTCACGTCGGATTCCTTTTTCGCGAAGACAGTTTCTGCCAGATCCAGTCAGTAACCGATCGTCTTCTCTTCTTCATTACACATCGAATTTTCCCTTACCACTGGAACTAACTACAGGTTAAACAAGGAATTGGTGGAAGGGTTTCTGAGGAACGGTAAGGCTCTGTTGAAGAAAGGAGATGGGGAGATTCACGTGACGCACAAGGAAGGGGAACCGTACGACAAGTGGGAGCTGGTGGAGGAAGCCATGAAAATGGGGCTCAAGTTGCAGGAAGCGGTGCCGTTCCGGAGGGGTGATTATCCGGGATATCAGAACAAGAGAGCCGATGGTGGTCAATCGGATGAGCCATTTAGGCTTGGGGATTGCAGCACTTACAAGTTTAAGCTCGATGAATCTCGCTAACATGGTGATGGCAAAGCAAATGAAGGGAGCTTCTTCTTCTTCTTCTTCTTCTTCTTCTCTATGCCGTAGACTTTGTTATGAACTCTCTGATTCTGTCATTTGTCTCTGAGAAACTGAGTTTGGCAATGGCGGATGCAGTTTCATTGTCGCTCTCATGAAATCAATGGCAAATTAGGCGAAAATTATCAGGTATATAGTATTTTTAGGAATTGTGCATCACATTAGTAATCAGATTAATGATGGTGGTTTTTTTGGATGAGTATAGAAATCACCATTTTAGCTAGATGGAAACCACCAGGGATGACCTAGTAGTTAATAAAAACTGATATAAATAGCAAAAGAATTCACAGCAAATGAGTTCAAACTGTGGTGACTATCTATTTAGAATTTAATATCCTATGCATTTTAAAGATAAAAAAGATTGATTTTGAGTAATTTTGTTTTTGTCTTTTTTGGTAAAAAAAATATGGAATGCATTTCTAGGACGAAAATTCATGCAATTTCAATCGAAATTTTATTTTTATAATTAAAATTGAAATGGAATGAATCTCAAGATTCATGCAATTCTTAAATTGTAGGCGAGATTCATGCAAGCTTAACCAAAATTTCACGAATCTCATACTCTGATCCCATGAATTTCAGGACTTATAAAAGATGTATATGAAAAAAATAGAAATATATTTGTGCTTGAATTGGTGAAAGAACTTGATAATGATTTTATATTAACTGGATGAGGGCAAAATTATAAAAAAATACAAATAAATGACATTAACGAGGTTGGAAAAAATATTTTTGAGGTGGGAGTCAATTTTCTAAAACTCATAACTTTTTGGATTATTTTTTTCAATTACCCTCTTGTTTTATGGATTTTATAGTGTTTTTTTTTTCAAAGGAATTTTGTGAATGAGGTTATTGCTACTGAAAATTTTCATGCATGACCTACATTAAATATTTATAGTTATAGATTTATTGTGGTTGTTTAAGAAGTTACAAATAAGTCTCCTTTTAGCCATATATTTATTCTAATAAGATGTTTTCTTTCTATTTTATTGCCAAACTTAATGGAATATATATATATATATATATATATATATATATATGTAAAAGATTTTTTGTCTTGTGTTTTATTACCACTCATATACGAGCAAGATTGTTATTTTTGTTTAAAAAGACATGAACATTGGACGGTAAAATTAGGATTAATTTTGTAATATTTTGAAAATCAAACTCTAAAACTAAGCCAAATACCCTTGATATTATAAACTCGTGTTAAAGATATAAATTTACAAATCAACCTCGCTTGAACACTTCTCTCTAGAGATGGGAGAGACACATTCAAGCTTCAAATGGACAAGTTTAAAATAAATTAGAAAGAGGAACACAATGCTTCGATTAAATCCTATCAATCTTAAATTGTTGTAAAGATTTTTTTTTTCTTTTTACTGGTTCTTATGAAATTATAACATTACTCTCATCTAAATGAACAATATCAAGCCAACATGAGCATGTAAGACAATATCAAAGAAATATGAAGACACAAGATACACAGTGTTTCGATAGTAGCAGTTAAGAACTATTAGAAAGAGTAGACGTTTGGTATATATATTGCATTACAAACAAAATAATGAAGATTCAACCATCCCGATTCCTTTAATTACTATTCATAGTTCATGTGGTTAAAACATAAATCTTCGATCAAAAGCTGGAATGGAAGTTCAAATACTTGTCGACTTGTCCCACATGGTCTTGAACTCTACTGTATTATCTATTTCTATTCGATAACGAAGTTCTACAATACTAGAAGAGAGCTTGCAGATTGAAGAAAATAGTCTTTGCTTTGTAACATCAGGAAAGCAATAACTTATTCACATCTGAATTATTTATGAAAATTCTACAGTTTATATAAAACTAGATAATAATTGAACCATCATCATCAATTCTGTTGAATAAATTTGATTTTACATTAAAAAAAAGAGAAGGATGCTTCTCTCCCATAGAACTGCTTATAAACTTGTTGAAACATTCAACAAAAGACAGGTAAGAAGCTTACAATAAAAATTAAAAATAAAGATGCTGATGGCAAAGTTTTTCCCTTTTTTCCTCTATATCTTCCAAGCTTATATTTTGTAATTATCCAGGGAATTCTTATATTCTTGACTTTTATCATCTAAAATACTCAGCTTCTTTTTTTAAAATTTCATTCACTAAGGAACTTCCCTTGAAAGTTGGTTCTTGGAAACTTCTGATTTTCTGGGTAGAATTTGTTCATTTCATTGACTTTGATAGTTCTATCGAATAGAAAAACCTCCTGATTTGGCTTTAAATGCTCATTCTCAGACATTGATGCTTCTGAATTACATCTAATCTATAACCAGAACATCTTCCTCAACATATTATTCATTCTCAGTAATCTTCTCCTCTGTTCTTCCACCCTTTGGTTTCTGGGGAAAATAGTGTCTTTGCTTCTTTTGACAACGAGAGTATCAATCAAAGCAAACATCAAAACAGAAAATGGGAGGAAAACCTTCTAAGCAGATTGAATGACATTTCCACTTCCATGGTGCTGATCAGGGGCAGTCATCAAACTGTTCGTGTGTTTGTCATTCTCCCTCGAGCATTAGTACGGCGTCCATTTTTCGTTCCCCAGATTATCTCAAAAATGGCGACGATTTTGACTCCCTTGAACAGGTACCATCCATCTTCTCTCATCAGTTCCATTGAAGCGTTTCCGTTCGCCTTGTTTATGTAGTTTTTTGCACAAACGGCTGAAAATTAAATACTGGGTCAAGTTTTCTTTGCGTAAGAAGATTGAAAAGAAACATCTTGGTCACAACTTTACCCTGTTTGAGAATAGTGTTGGTGCCTAGAAAATCTGTTAATCACTTAATTGGATTCATAAATCCTGATTAGATGCTAAAGTTGATTGACTATGGCACTTGCAGGTGACTGGAGCCCTTGCACAGGCAGGCTTGGAGTCTTCCAACCTTATCATAGGGATTGACTTTACAAAAAGCAATGAGTGGACAGGGAAAAAATCTTTCACGGGGAGGAACCTGCATGACCTTGGTGGAGATTGTCCCAATCCCTATGAGCAAGCAATATCCATCATCGGAAGGACGCTTCGACAATTCGATGAGGATAACAGAATCCCCTGCTACAGCTTTGGAGATGGTTGGTGTGATTTTGTGATCGAACTGTAGAATTTCATGACATATCTGTAACTTTGAATCTTCAAAGCTATATCTTAAAGTTCCAATCATCTCTCATTCTACTTCTTCAGCAACTACAGGCGATCAGCAAGTTTTTAGCTTCCATCTGGAAGATAGGCCCTGCCATGGTTTTGAGGAAGTGCTCTCTTGCTACCGAGAAAGAGCTCCTCATGTAAAACTAGCTGGTACATTTTCCTCACTGGAATTCCATTCTCTTCTTCATGCCCCTTAAATTTTCATTCACTCATGTACCATTGATATGTCAGGTCCAACATCATTTGGTCCGATCATCAGAAACGCCATCAGAATAGTCAATGATAGCGACGGGCAGTATCATATTCTTCTGATCATTGCTGATGGACAAGTTAATGGCTACATATTAGTTGAAGTTGATCCTTGTTATTCAGACTGCTTTTGGTTCCTCTAAAGCTGATTTGGTTCATATTATCCTGTTCTCTGTGCAAGGTCACAAGAAGTGTAGACACTCCTTATGGCCACTTTAGTCCTCAAGAACAGAGCACCATTGATGCTATTGTGGAAGCAAGGTTGATTGAAATTTATAAATCAGCACATGTTTGAAACATTGACAATTGACATTGCCTTTTGTAGCTTCAGTTTTGATCTTCTTTGTGCAGCAAATACCCTTCGTCCATAATTTTAGTCGGTGTGGGTGATGGACCGTGGGACCAGATGTACGAGTGTGATGATCAAATCCCGGCTCGAAAATTCGACAATTTCCAGGTGAAAGAGAAGAGAAAGAACTAGCAGACTCTTAAGACCATCTTTCTAGTTCTCTTTTCAAACTTCTGTTTTCATTCCGTGCTTGATTGTCTGTTGCAGTTCGTTAATTTTACTAACATCATGTCGATGGCCATTCCAACGCCTAGAAAGGAAACTGAATTTGCACTGCAATCTCTAATGGAGATACCACCACAATACAAAGCAACAATCAGCCTCCAACTTCTGGGGTAAATTACCAGCAGAATGTTCCGATAATGCAGCTTATCAATGTTATTGCCTTTTCCCAAGGTTAACTCCACTTTCTAAAATTTCACTCGCAGCCAAAAAAGAAAAACTGAAGGGCGGTTCCCTTTCCCAATGCCACTCCCTCCTCCAATCGCCAATATCTCGCTCAACTCTTCTCCAAGCTATAGGCGCTCTCCAAGCTATAGGCGCACAAACAGTGACATGCCCACATCTCCATTTGGTCTTGCTCCCTCTCCCCCGAACAGCAACATACACACACCTCCATCTGGCTTTGCTCCCTCTCCCTCTCCTTCAGGGCGTTCACCGCCGTTGTCGTTGTCATCATCATTTAACAGGGTAATGCTTCTTACAGTTTAAAGAGCAGTAACATCAGATAACCACATATTAGCTAGAAACCTACAATGTTATTCAAAGACGATCTATTTCTTAATGATCCCATTGTGGTTTGCAGATTTGTCCCGTATGCTTTTCTAAGGAGAGAGATCTGGTATTTGGGTGTGGACATCAGGTAATGTACCACGCCGCTTTTTCTATCTTTTTTCTTTTTTGAAAATAATGGTTACATACAAACAAGTACCTTTGTTGCAGGCATGCTCGGATTGTGGTAAAGATCTCTTCTTCTGCCCATCATGTCAGACCCAGATAGAAACCAGGATAAAGCTGATCAACTAACAATATGAATCAGGAATAAGCCAGTTCTAGGAATTCTCTGAAAAAGCATTTCTGTATTGCTAAAGTAATCGTAGCAGAGATTTGTGTGCTTAAGAACAACCAAGTGTTTGATCATTTTGATTGGTGTGCACAAAAGTTAAGTATATGCAATGCCCATATCATTTCCTACAAAAATATGGGCTACCAAACAAGCACTTTGATGTCAAAAGTTAAGGACAGGTTACAAATATCTTCAACAATACTTTCCAGTCATTGAATCCTAAAATTTATTTCAACTAAAAACCCCCCATGGATTCTGATTTCTCGGATCAAATGGTTAGCTTCTGACAAAATCAGGCTGATTGGTGACGGATCTAACCCATGCCCATTTATGATCTCTCGTATTAACTTCATTCTTTGCTTCTGCCACCTCTTTCAATGGAATATATGAATAGTGTCTATTAATAGGGCCAGGGACAAATCCAGTATAACCAGCCATTACGCCATGGATGGCCGAATGAGCCAGCAAGGAACAGTAGGAGTTATCCGTAGCATTTGCAGGCACCGCACGGATCATATAAGTAGGATCAATATATTTTACTGTAAACAACTCACCAGGGTGCGTTCTCGCCCACCAATTCCTGAGCTCCGTCTTCAACCATCCGCCCACGTCCAAGAAGACGGGATTTCCAGATTCGTCCCTCTCTTCTTTTTGAGCCTCAGTTCTAGGTATCAAATCTTGCCCTGCTCCCTCTGCAACCACCAGAACCGCATGGCCATTCTCCTTCAGTTTCTGATCGAGAAACGTAAACAACCCTCCGCTGCCTTCCAAGTAGAAGGCCATTTCAGGTATTAAGCAGCAATCGACGTCTCGGCTGCTCAGTGTGGCGTGAAGAGCGATGTGGCCGGTGCTTCGGCCCATCAATTTGACCAGACCTATGCCGTTCACCGCGCTCTCGGCCTCCACATGGGCGGCACTGATTGCCTGCTGCGCCATTTCGACGGCCGTTTGAAATCCAAATGATTGATCGATGATTCCGACGTCGTTGTCGACGGTTTTCGGAATTCCTGTGACGGCGACTTGAAGTCTCCGACGACATATTTCGTCGAATATCTTGACGGCGCCGCGCATTGTGCCATCTCCTCCGATAATGTAGACCTATTCATTCGCAACAAATCGCCATTGAAACAACCCCAATTCAATCAAACTCCTAAGACCAAAAACTGCAAATTATTGGACATGACGTGCAGTGAATGGTGATCAAATATTATAGATTTTTCTCCAGAAAATTGTTTTTAAAATATAGTACTTCTTGTTTTGTTTTCTTCTTTTCTTAATTCGTAATTTCCTTTTTTTTTAGTACAATTCGTAATTACTTACTCACTCAAAGTCTCAAACAGAATTATATAATGCTAACATTAAAATTTAAAATTCACGTATGATTCAATGATATTCAGGAAAAAAAAAAAACGTGTGTGTTTTTCTTCTTGAAATAAGTCCAAAAATGTGTTATCGCGATAAAATCACATTATTTTCATCTAAGTTAAAATAAAATTTTAAAAAATATATATTTTCGCATGTATTTCAAGAACAAAATAATAAAGATAAAACTTAGGTCTTTACTGGTGAATATGTATTTTTTCACTCGCCATGATTAAAAAAATTTGACAACTATTTATCCTATTTTGTTTTCCTTGCTCCATCTTGCTCCATAGTTATCAAATTTTATTCTATTGCTAAAAAGGAGTACTACTCCATACCTTCACACTATGATTTTTCTTTTCTCTAGTATTTTATTTCTAAAATTTTCCTTCATTTCTATACCATCTAATCGAGAGGATAAATAAAAAGAAAAACGAACCAATCGAAAGTGGAAACAGAGAGAAAAAGAAACAAATTAAACCTGATTGAAACCCTGATGTTGTATCGCATCAACGATTTTGTGGAGATCGAATCCCCCTCTGGAGGTTTCGAGGGCGGTGCCGCCTCTCTTATGCCAGTTATGGACCAGCTTCGGGTTCAGCTCCACCGCGTTGTCGGAATAAAACCCTCTGTATCCGGCCACGATCCCACAGATCCGCCGCACGCCGTACACCTCCCACAGCCCCACCACCAGCTCTCTGATCACGGTGTTCATCCCCGGGCACAGCCCCCCGCACGTGACGATCGCCGCCCGGACACTTCCCGGTTCGAAATAGATGGACCGGCGCGGACCGGCGCGATGGTACGCCTGGAGTGGGGCCGCCGCCGTCGCCGGAAAGTTGGCGGCGAGGTCGAAGGCGGTGTGGCGGAGGACGACGTCGGTGGGCGTGACGTAGAAGCCGTCGGATGGGTGGAAGAATTGGTTGCTCTGGAGAGGGTTTGTGTGGGTCTGGAGGTCCGGGAAATAGTCCGTGAGGTGGGGGAGCTTTTCGACGCCGATGGAGCGCTGTTGATCGGTGGTTCCGGCGGCCATTATTTTAATTATTTTGCGAGAGCCAGAGAAGAAGAAGAACAAAGTGGGATTATAATGGGGACAGAGTTGTTGAGGTGGCTTGTTAAGAGGTCGACAGGAGGAGGAGGAAGAAGAAGGAGAAAATTGACTAACATATTGTTGGAACAGAAACTTGGCAGATTCTGGTTAAAAAGACTCATCTACTTGGTTTATCTATATTGGTTGCTTTATATTTTATTTAATAATTTTTTCCCTATCCAACTTTTTAGACCTCCGATCCACCTCTAAAATTTGAACAAGATATGTTTAACTACCCAAGTATACTCGGATTGACAATTCAACTATGACTTTTAAATGGTCGGTAACTTATCTACTAAATTATATGTTCAAATTAATAAGTGTGATTAATTCTAAGTTTAGTTCCTCAACTTTGGCTATATCTAAATAAAGAAGAAATTTCTGCTTTTTTCTTACTAATTTTTAAGAGAGGTAAAATATATATCAAGAATTTCAAAAATAGAAAATATAAAACAAAATACACATCAAATGACATCGTAATAAATACAACATGAATTACAATAATAACCACGTAGCGTAAGAAAGTGTAGGCGTAGGTACTAAGTAGACAAGTTTTGAAGGAGTGGGAGATCTCAAACTTTAGACTGACAATAAATGTTATATACATTTTAGCTATGATTTGAGAGATAAGTTTTGAACTTTAAAATTACCTAAAGTTTTTTAATAGCATATTAATTTTGAAATTGTTTTGCTAATATAGTTATACCCATTAAAATGTATATTTCGACCAAAAAATTTCACCCATCATGTTCATAGTCACCACCCATGCTAACCACACCACCAATAAAAATTTGACAGTTTTTTTATTTTATAAAACGCAAAAAAAATGTACATCTTTTCTTTACCTTTTTTTTTCCTACCGCAAGAAATCTAACCATTAGCAAAGGATGAGTGCCGAATATTTTTCCAAATAGAACAATAAATTATTAGTCCACACTCATCTTTGGACCATAGCTAAAAAGTTCCACTGCCTTTTAGTTATTTGTAACTAAATATTTTTCTAACAAACAATAATCCCCACACATGACACAGGTACAAATATTTTTCACAGCGAAAGTAAAATAACAAACAAAAACACAGGGAAAGAGGGCAAAAGATGTGACGAAAAACAGCTATACCTCCATATATTCCCAAGATAAATTCTATAATGTGATTGAAGGAGCCAACATCCAAAGGAGGGAGATAACCAGAGAGATTATAAATGGCACAGTAAACATAAATTTCCTGCATGACTCCCTTGACGCCAATTAACAAGGATACGAAACCGCTTTCGTAAAGCCCTTTTAGTTGGCATTCAGGGAGCCAGGCAGGTCGGTTTAAAGAGGACAACATCACACTATCGGTGGAGGTTGCAGCAACAACAGGATTGAGAAATCATTGAGAGTGGGACTGCTTTTTTATACGAAGCAGAACAGAGGAAACAGAGCATATCGTGGGGAAGGCCGAATCTGTCTCGAGTCTCAAGTTTAATTTGTTTGTTTGGCAGAAAGAAATGGGATGAATAAATCCAAAAGGGGTTCGTGGGATTTGGTGGAGTTGGGGCTGGCCTGGCCGGGCGCAAAAAGCAACGAAAACGACAATGGCCAGAGTGATGGTGAAGTTGGAGTTGAGTTTGGAATTGGCTGTGAAAAATGTCTGTTTCATTCCAAACAAAATATTTGCTAATTTACTTTTAACAATTTAACATTACAGCGAAGCTAGGCTCTTGGCCTTGGGTTTGATGTGTATTTCGTCCATTTCAATGTCCACRTTATTGTTTGTCGTTGTTGTTAATTTGATATTTCCAATGTTTTAGTTTAATTGTGTAGAATGAGAGAGAGAGGCCCAGCTTCAACCTCAATTTCAACTTTTGTTATTTTATTTTTTCACACCTTCAACAGAATCATGGGTTTACTTTCACTATGCGTATGTTTTTTATGGTAATGGACCATGGGCCAACTGAAGTTATGGACCATTTAATTGTTGGAAATATTTCAATTTTTCTAAGAGTTTTGAGTTTTAGTGCGTTGAACGGAAGAAGATCTAGTCCAATATTGAGTTTGAGTTAAACATGCATTTTGATCCATCTCCGTTCTTTCTCTCCCATCTCCGACCAACAACCTTCGATCGTTTTTCATTTTTAAGTCCAATACATAACGTGAGGGTTATTGATAATTTTTTTTGTTTCTTTAAAATGAGGAAAAAATTATTATATGAAACTATTGGTACAAAGAGAATTTAATTTTTCTAATAACATTTTTGGTGTCTCCGCTCGCCATCGACGGTAGGAAATGGATAAAGATAAAAATGGTCGGTGGTTGTTGGTTAGAGATGGGAGAGGAAAAGAAGAAGGATGGAAAGCCACCGACAGTCAACTAACTCTCAAATGACAATTTATAACTATTTTTCAAATTGTAAGGACAAAAAATATCTATTTTGAAACTTAGGGACTAAATATACACCTACATCAAACCTCCCAAAGTGTTGAAACTTCAGGGACTAAATAGACACATATCTCAAACCTCATGAACCAATAGTGTATTTTTTCCTTATAAATAATATTTGCTTTTTAATAGACAATTAAAAAGATTGGTACAACATTGAGAGTGAAGATTCAAATCCACGAACATTTATAGAAAATAAAAATCTTAACCAATTAAGTTATACTCATATTGACAAAAGACAATTAAATTATTTGATCATGTCATATACATTATATAATGAACTAGATTCATTAATTCTTAGGAGATTATTTTTTTTAATGCAAAACCAAATAGTTCAATGAATTAGCATATATCTCCAATTAAGAGGGTGTGAATTCGATCTTCCCACCCCACATATTATACTAAAAAAAGATTATTTTTTATAATTAAATTGTTTAATTATAAAATATATCTTAATGATGAATTGGATTCATTATTTAACTATTAATTAAATTGTTTGATCGGAAAATATATCGTAATAATTAATTAGATTCGTTATCTATTAGAATCATATTTCTAATTAAATGGCTTAATTGGAAGATATATTACAATAATGAATTTGATTTCATTGTCTAATTAGTAGAGATATTTTTCCATTAAGAAAAGTAAACTGTGGACATAAATAGAATCATTGAGTGAATTCTGATGAATTAATCAACAACCTCGTAAGTTGAAAAAAAAGAAAAAGAAAATATATATAATTATATACACACACGCATACATACACACAACTCTCCTACTAATTGGCCAAAATTCATATAAAGTAAACTATATATATAGCTCTCCTACATATTGGCCAAATTTTATAAAGTACTCGCACTTAGTTTATTCATATTAAAATCAAGTTTATATTAAAGTGGCAAGTATATGACCAAAATGAACATAGATCAGCAGTAATTGACATATACCTCAAATCAAGAGGTTGTGAGTTTGAATCTCTCTCCAATATGTTGTACTAAAAAAGTACCAAGTAAGTTTTTTTTTTTTTTTTGAAATTTTACATTTTTAAATTGCTACTCCAAATTTCTAACTTTACATTTGCAATATTTAAATAGTTGATTCTTTACAATATTACCCTATTTTTTAAACATATTTATCTTACTATGCTTTTTTTTAATTCTCTTAAATCTTTTGTGTTATTATTATTAATTTTTAATATAATAACATTGTTTAGAAGGAATTTGAATTCATTATCTTTTAGTGGGAGATAAGTACCTTAATCAGTTTAGTTAAATTGGGATGGAAAATCAAAACGCAATCTACTTGGAGACCGATTCTCTAGGTGGTTGAACTTCTTCACGCACGAATTCAAAATCTGACTGAAATTTGGTGGCTACTCCAAGATGCAAAGAGAATAGAGGAAGAGATTAGTATGGTTTCAAATGTAATAGCACGGCTCATGATATTGTCCGAAGAGCTATGGTGTACACTTTGACAAAAGAGCGGACTTTTGAGTTTCCCATCTTGTTGATGGAGTTAACACACATTGATTAGTTTTTTTTTTCCTATTTCTATTCTAAAAAAAATCAGTTTAGTTAAATTCGAATTCTTCTCCTACTATTAATTATTAAATAAATGACAGAGACTATTAAAATTTGTAGATGAGAGTTCATAAATAAGGTATGACAATCATATTCACTTTAAAATTTTAAATCTTTTAGAAATATTTTATAAAATTATTATCATTACTTTTTTTTAAAAGATGATTTTGTGAGGTCCACCATTGCAGATAAGACAGATCAGGTTGATTTTGTGGGATGTATTTGAAAATTCTCCTTTAAAAAAAAAAATGAAAACGACTTTATTTTTCCAATTTTTATTAAACCGTTAATATTGAACAAAATCCCTAATGAAATTAATTTCACGTATTCCTTAACGATGTGGGTTTGACCGTCTTCTTCTTCGTCCTTCCCTTTTTAACTGCTCTCTGTTTCTCTGTTTCTGCATAAACTAACGCGCTAATCTTCGGCTTCCGTAGTGTTCTTTAAACCCTCTGGAATTCTACCTTCATTGCGATTAATCCACATTCGAAGAAGCAGATCCAGCCCCAAAAATGTCTTACGCTTACCTCTTCAAGTACATCGTTATCGGCGATACTGGTACGTCCCTCACACCCTGATTGATGATTGGTTTGCATTTGTATTTCTCCAATTATATGCGGCTTTACTTGTATGCCATTTTTGGTCTTCAATTGCGAATTTAATCGTTTCGTCTTCAGGTGTTGGCAAATCGTGTCTCCTTCTTCAGTTCACGGATAAACGATTCCAGCCTGTGCATGACTTAACTATCGGGGTCGAATTCGGGGCAAGGATGATCACTATCGATAACAAACCAATTAAGCTGCAGATTTGGGATACGGTACGTTGCCCTAGTTTCTAATCCGGATCTTCAGTTTTTTGTTGTTACGTAAACGGTAGGCTAAGGTAGTCTGGGAGAATGTATGTATTTTTAAGCACATTAGACTCTCTGATTTGGCATAAATTTCCAGGTTACTTGTAAATTATCAGCCTCTCTATCACCTAGTTTTCGACAGATTCTTCCCTTCTCCGTGTGAATTTCTAATGTTTCTTTGTCACTTTTCGTTTAATAATGGGATCTTTGTGGATATAGTACTTGGAACCAAAACTAAAACTACTTCCTCCTTACTTTCTTGGTGTAACTTTCGATGGCCTTATTTATTGTATATTCAACAAGTGGGTCAATTGATACTTTCCATCGAATAAAGGTAAGCCACTGATTGGAAGTAGGAGCTATTACTTATTGTATGGGTAACTTCTATTTTATTTTTATTCATTGAATTGGTAGGAACAAGAATTAGTTGATCTTTCCTTTTTTGGCACCAAGACATGAATTGCTACCATGTTGTGGAATCTGTCCTGTCATCGTCTCTTGATTTAACCCATCAAAATTGTTGCATCAACATTGGGTCGAGTTTTTCCCTAGTCTGGGGGGCCTAGGTCTTAAGTGTTTATAAAGCTAGGATTGCCTCTTCTCTAATTTATAAGACCAGTTTAGCTACTGTTAACGCAGTTCTAAATGTTAAAGTTTGTATGATTGTTTGTTACAGGCTGGCCAAGAGTCTTTCCGGTCCATCACGAGGTCCTATTACAGAGGTGCTGCTGGCGCCTTGCTTGTCTATGATATTACCAGGTCTTATTTCGTTCCCCTTTCTTCTTGGTTGACTAACTAGTATGCAAATGCGAAGTTCTTGTAACTTCATTATAATAATAGGATCTTTATATGCATTCTCAAATAATGTGAAGCTTAATCTAGAGTTGCGTTGAAGATGGGGGTGTTCTTGATGTAGATGTGCTTTCTTATTTACTCATTGCTTGTGGTGGCTGCTCTATTCAGGAGAGAAACTTTTAATCATTTGGTTAGCTGGCTAGAAGATGCAAGGCAGCATGCAAATGCAAACATGACAATAATGCTAATTGGTAATAAGTGTGATCTTGCTCACAGACGGGCTGTGAGCATAGAGGAAGGTGAACAGTTTGCAAAGGAGCATGGTTTAATATTCATGGAAGCATCTGCCAAAACTGCACAGAATGTTGAAGAGGTAACTGACTACATAAAATATGCTTATGCTGAAGTACTCTGAAGCAAAATGGGGCCTGTTTGTGTGTAAATTGTGATAGCATTATAAACATTTAAGAACTTTTATCTCTATAAATAGTAAGCACCTCATGTGCAGGCATTTGTAAAGACAGCAGGAACCATATACAAGAAGATTCAAGATGGAGTGTTTGATGTTTCAAATGAGGTTATAATCCATCTCTTATCTTTTCTACTTTGGCGTACATTTCCTATCCAATATTATTTTGTTTCCTAATAATTTCAGTAAAATTATAGTAAATTATAGTTCTATCATTATACTCATGGTTTTTTATTTAGAAAATAGCATTACAATGGTAAGGTGTGCCTTCAGACTTTCAAAATTAAATCTACAAGAAAGATTTTAGATGACTTAACAGTTGAGTGAATGCTCACATCAGTAGCATCACACTAATGGTTTGATGCGTTTGTTTTAAGATGACGAATTCGTGATTTGCGCATGTGTGACATATTAAATGCCTAACGTTTTAAACCAAAATCCAAGAGTATATTCAAGTTTGAACGATGCATTTGCACGGGGAATGAATGTATATGTTGCTGATGCTGCATTTTTCGTATGATCCTCAGTCTTACGGAATCAAAGTTGGATACGGCGGGGTACCGGGACCCTCAGGAGGCAGGGAGGGATCATCTTCCCAAGCTGGAGGCTGTTGCAGTTGAACCTTGAATTTTATCAGCTACCTGACTTCAATCTGTTTATGTCCTAATTACCTTTTTCTTCTTCTTCATCCTTTTTTTTCCCTCGTCTATCTCGTTCATCACATCCTGCTGTGAATATTTAGTTTATGTTTGCGTGTTAAAAAAATAGCCAAGTTCTGTTGAATGCTATACGCTATCAGTTTTCTTTCAATTCAATTGTAAATTCAACATTGTTTTGATTTCATTAGTTCTTATGGTGAACAATTTTTAGCACAATCTATCGAGATTTCTTGAATTCTAAGTAATGTCTTTGATGAGTTAAATTATATTGCCGAATGTTAATTTTGGTTTTTATTGCTATTTTTTTTAAGGAGTAATATAACACTAAGATTAAAATATAGAAATAATATTGTAGGAGTTTTGAATATTTCATATTGTTGGAGAGGAGATCGCGTGACATCTGAATGAAAGAATTGTAGGAGTTTAAGTTATCACCAACGGTCAATCTCCACACAATTCACGTTGCATATTCGCAATTTATTTTTTCTTGTTTACGAAATATTCACTTTAATTACTTTTAAAGAGTAAATGAAGATTTTTATTTATTTTTACAGTTGACTTTTATAAAACAATTAAATAAAAGGCGAAAAACTGTTTCTTAAAGCAATTTCCAAATAGTTCTTCATATGAACCACACATTGTTGAGTAATAAAATTTCTGCGGAATTTTTGTATGGTCTGTCCTCTCTCTGACTCTCTTGTACCTATCTAACATTTTGTGGACTCATTCATGTTCCAAATTTTGTCCTCTTAAAATTTACAACAATATTTGGATGATATAGGGTTCACTAAAAGAAGTACTTCGCAGTACTGTTCTTTTTTTTTTTTTTTTGGAAATATATATAGAAAAAATCTCAAATTTTTTCATTCTTCCTGTGTGTCAAAAGGTGAATTGTGGTCATCAAAAGATGATATTCAACTTGTGTTTATCTTTATTTGTTTACTTGTTAAGCTAAAATTTTATAAATATTTGAAATAAAGCAAATTTTAGTCTCAAAAATCATTCAATAAGTTACTTTCTCTCTTTTATGATAAAAAATCAAACCGATTGATTGTCTTGATTGTCCTAATCATAAAGTTATACTAGAATCCATGCTTTCGAGCCTCTTATATTTGTTTAACTAAAAACATTTTTAGTAAAAAAATTCAGAAGATTAAATCAAACTAACTAGTTCCAAAA